AAACCACAACAATATTAATAACTAACAATAACTATGTAATATTCATTAAATCTTAATTACCATATAAAAGTACAATAGGTAAAGGAAAGCAATATGGGGGAAACTGAATTCCCATATAAAAACTGCTCTCCAAGGTTAACATAAATAACTATACGTTGTATAAGAAAGAAGCTGGAGAAACAACTGAACAATGAACAAAAAGTAAAATCTGAATAAATCTCATTTCCAGATAACAAAACAAAACTATGTACAGAGATAATTCAGTAATCGAGTTCTGAAGGAATTCAAACTGGAAGCTGACATGGCAAAATTAGGTAAAGAGTTCCAATAAGTTAAATAAGAAATGTTGTGTAGGCGTCTCAGCAAAAGGTATATCCAGACGACTTGCATGGAAAAACTGGCCTCAGCTATCGCAACTAATTTTTTAAAATAGTGTTTAGAACTAAACTGGTTAGCAGCACTCTGCGAACAGTAGTTGTGAAACTGCTTTATTCTCCGACGCGTTTCGTCTAACTGTCGTAAACTTTTTCGAGGAGTTTTACAAGTAACACTAAACGCCTGTATTTATAAGCCGTAATTAGCGGCTATACGGGGGCCAATGACCATAAGAGCTTGGCCTGACCTACCAACAGGAACAGGAGAAGTTGCGAAAAATTTAAACATTTTTTTGGGGCAAGGTGGGAGAATTATTTGGGGGCCACGGTTTTGGTTTTCTTTTTTCGCCACGCACGTTGCGCTGTAAGTTAAAAAACGTGAATATGATTCTTCTTGATGCCCTTCCGGATGCCACCGATACCCTTTCCAATGCCTCCATTGTTTATTACAGCAGTAAAAGATATTTGTGCAATCAACACTTTTGAAAAATTGCTTAACATTTTATTTAGCGAAGTTTCCTGTTGACATTTCGGCTTTACAACACCAATTTCACCATTTTTCAATTGATATGTCTCTATATGAAGTATTAACGTTGTTTCCCCGCTGATCACTTGTATTTCGATCATTTCTTCTTCTCCCGCTCGTCGCCCGTGATGTAATAACTCCCAATGCTGAATGGTAGAAGGGATTGATGGGGGGGAGGTCTGGCACGGGAGAAGGGGTACATAAAACCTTTCTCAATTCAAATCTTAGAATTATTGTACTTAAAGAAATGAAACACGTAAAGTTTGTCGTAACAGTGGAACCTCGATTTAACAAAGTGCTAAGGGACTGGGAAAATTTGTTCGTTATATCGAGGGTTCGTCATATCGAAAACCTCGATTTAATGAATTTGCGGAAAAACAGCCATGTTCGTTATATCGCGGGATGGTTAATAGGTTTTTTTTGTGGTGTCTGGCAGTTCAATAGAGTCTTTAGTCTCTATCATTGTATTTGACCATAGAACATGGCAAAGAACACAGGACTACTGATTGCAAGAACAAACTTGTGAGCTGGGATCACTTTCAGCAGACGACACAGGAGCAACAAATTTAACACCGCTCAGTAACTCATTGTTGAAAATAGAAGTGGTTCTATCTACAAATGTTAGAAGTTTCTTTTTCCAGATTTCTTCAATAGGTATCTCTTTGGTCTGATCTCAGTATCTTTGAGGGTCTTATCTCACAAAATGTGACAACAATTTGGGGCAACAGTTCAAAGACAATAATTTTTTTCTCTCTGTTCAAAGAGAAAGAGAAAACTGCAAAGCCATGTTTAATGTAACGATCAATTGATATCCTTCAACAACTGAGTAACCGCCCCAAACAAATGGCAATTTGTATTCTGAAGATTTATTCTGTTTATTTTGTCTCTTCTTACAACTCAACAGTGTGTGACCCATCGAAAAAATTTAACACTGTCTTCAATGACCTTTCTTTCCTATCAGTTCATCGCTCTTACAACTTCAAAAGGCAAGCAATATTTCAGCACGGTTTTCTTTTGTGGCTCCCTGGAGGAAATCCTTGTCTGAGTGGAAAAGCAGATGATAGGCCATCATTTACAGTGACACGCTGTGTACGATCCGCAAGGTACGACGCAAACCATTCTAGTGCCTTGCCATCCACACCAAATCTCGACTTTAAACGGTTTAGAAGAGTGTCGTGTCGAACAGTGTCAAAAGCAGCGCTAAGGTCAAGGAGAACTAACAAAGTGATCTTTTGCGCCTCCATATTCAACAAAATATCATTCTTTACTTTGAGCAGTGCTGACTCGGTGCTATGGTTTAGCTTATACGCGGAGTGGAGTGGCATATGCAAATCATTAGTTGTCATGTGGTCAATGAGCTGATTAGCCTCTGACAGTTTAGAAACATAAGGGAAGTTGCTTACTAGACGGAAGTTATTAAAAGCAATGTCAAGTCCACACTTTTTAAGCAGCGGTTTTAGTAAAGCCTCCTTCCAGTTGCCAGCGAACACGCCAGATTCGAATGACAAGTTAATCATGTTCGTGATCACAGGTAACAGCACATCCAAAACGTCTAAGACTACCGAAGTAGGCATTGGATCCAGTGGACACGATTTCTTGGCAGCTCTATTGATGAGCTCAGAGACTTGCTCTTGAGATAACATTTCAAAATTGGCAAATGTGACACCAGCATACGTATCAAAATCAGCACACCCCTTTTTTCCGGCTTTTGACATCTCCAAAGAGCTCTGCATATCAATTAACTGATAAATCTTGCCGATCTTTTGCATAGAGAAATTTCCAAAATCATTGGCGAGATCATCTGGAGCTATATCCTTTGGAAACGACACCTCAGACGGTTCACACAGCAGCGACTTGGTGGTGCGAAACAAGTTCCGTTGATTTGAACTGTTCTCAGCTATGAGATTAGTATAATACTCACAGCGCGCGCCATTCATAACAAACGTTGCGCGATTTCGCGCGCCTTCGAAAGCGCAAAAGTCCTGGTGGGATTTAGTCCTTAGCCATTTCCTTTCCGCCTTCCGCCTTGTCCTTATAGCACACTTAATCTCACTGTTAAACCATGGCAAGCGCTGCCTACAGACAACCACTTTCTCCTTCATCGGCGCATGCTTGTCCAGAAGAGATGTTAGTGTCGAATTGTAACTGGACGTTATCTCATTAAGGTCACTGTATTCCCTCGTGCAAAGCTCGGATTTTTCCACATCCTGGCGTTAAAACTAGAGAGACGAAAATGCTTGTGCTGCCGCGGGGCGCTCAACGTAATTCTCCAACATAATTCTCCAAATGGTGTAAAAAGTGCTGACGGAACGGTTCGGGTAACGTTAGAATTTCTACTTGGATGCTGAAAACAAAATTGCAGGAAGCTGTCCTCTGTTCTCATTGGTTCCATTAGAGCTATCCCCCGAGCTACGAAATGTAAATTACACTCTCTGGCACTCCACTGATGCTTCCCCGCTTTCGCTGTACCACGATTTAGAGCCCTTGATGAGCGACTTTACTTTGTGTTCTTTATCTGCCTTCAAAATAACAGGACGATCGAACAACATATTAAAGCCGTGATAAGCATGATATCGCTTCTTTCTGAAATATAATTTCCCGTTCGACTCACAAGCGAAGTGTTGTCCAAGGGATCAACAATATCTGTTGTAACTGTATACTCGCCGCTTTCGGAGCCAAAATGCTGAACTCCGTAGAGCTTAACAGGCTTCTTGATGGTGAGAATGATACAGTCAGCCGCCTCACCGTAGTTCCATCTTTCCTTTGGGGAACAAAACGTTTGAAACCTGCAGCATTGGTGCATGGTTGAATCAATTCTACTGGCTTTTAAGAATGGCAAAAGAGTAGTTATCACACCGCTGTTGTATTTTAGCATGTTTCCAAACTCTTCTAACGGTTAGAATATTGGCCATTTTACGACTAACAGTTAACCGTTAAACGCATAATGACATACTGGAGATAGGAAAAAATTTTTACGGTTAACTTATTAACGACAAACACTTAAAACATACCTCTTTTTACCACCATTGGCTGAGTTTTTTGGTCGCGTTTTACGGCTAACGGTTGACCACGCTGAGACCCTCACATAAGCCTGAAAATGATGAGTAGTGACGGAGAATTGTGGGCATAAACGTTAAGACTGTCATGTGAATATCAGGTGGGTGAGGAGAACATCACGGTGAAATGCCTGAAATGCGCCCGGTTTCATTGCTGCTCCCTTCTTACTCTTCATCAGTGTTTGTTAATTTTCAACCAGTACAAACCTCTTGTGATTTTTGGGTCCGAAAACTCACTAGATGTTGACAACACACCCTTCTGTTACTAATTAACCCCTTCACTCCCAAGATCTTAGTATCATTTTTTCTTCCCCGTTAATGATACCAGTTTCTTTAAATTTCAGCTCGAACAGTCGCGTGTTAAATTAAACAGTTTTCGCTGGTGGATGTTCAATTCCTCATCACTGTTGGTCATTCTTGAGAGTGAAAGGGCTAAACGATCACTCTGTTTTTTCTTTTTCATCTGTTTTTGAGATATTATTTCACGAAGCACAAGCAGGTTCTCTTCAGTTAATCATCAACACCAGTGGACATCCTATTGTCAATATTTGAAGATTTCTGGGCCAATACCTGCCTCATTTGGGATCGATCGACCTGTTTGAGAAAGGATCCCGCAGATGAAAAAAAAAAAAAGAGCCAATAAATGACCTCCTCCTTCCCTATCCCCCCCCCCCATCCCCCCCATCCCCCTCTGCCCCTTTCACTTGACTGAAATATCCTTTCATGACCCCTTGAATCATTAATGGAAATCATGTACCCGTCAAGCTAGTCGTTAAAGGATAATTCAATATTTGATATAATGTTTTCATATACAAGTGTTGACGGATAACGCTAATCAGCGATCGCTATTGTCTCAATTTCTTTTGGCTCAATTGAAATCCTTTTTTCTAACTTGTCCTCGCTGAGTTTACGACAAATATGTTTTACGCATAATATTTGTAAGCCAGAGTTTGGAAGCTTACTTGTAAGTTTTTGTTGGAAATACCTTTCGAGCCCTAAATGATATGTTTTTTTTAAACTTGAACTCTTACATTTACAAGTAAGCCAAAAGAAAGCATACAAAATATTACTTTCCACTGAATGAAACAACATTTAGCTTCCAGAAACTTCTTCTGCGTTGTTGAAAATTATTATTCTTCATATACACTAAAGGGTTCTCTAACTTGCTCTTGAGGATCACATCGAAAAAGGTTTTTGGTCAACTCTGACAGGTCTACTGGGTCATCTCACTTGTAGTTCCATATCCGTCAGTGTTTGTCTAAGCATTCACATGTGTATACCTGCATGGTCATCTAAGAAGATTGGTCCAATTAATCCATTACTACTTGACCCAGTAGACTTTCACAGGGCTCTACGTTAATAGGAACGGTTCGGGTAACGTTTGAATTTCTACTTGGATACTGAAAACAAAATTCCAGGAAACTGTCCGCCTATTTCATTGGTCCCATTAGAGCTATCCTTCGAACAACGAAACGTAAATTGCACTCCCTGGCACTCCACTGGTGTTTGCCCATCTTTGCCGTACCATGACGGAGGGCCCTTGATGAGCGACTTTACCTTGTATTCTTTATTTGCCTCCAAAATAACAGGACGATCGAACAACACATCAAAGCCGTAATAAGCGCGGGTATCGCTTTTTTCTGAAGCATAATTTCCTGCTCGACTAACAAGCAAAGTATTGCCCATGTGATCAACAATGTCTGTCTTAACTGTATACTTGCCGCCCTCAGAACCAAAATGTTCTACTCCGTGTAACTTGATAGGCTTGTTGACGGAGAGAAGAATACCGTCAAGGCTGATGCCACTGTAAATCCAGCCTTTGCCGAACTCGTTAAACCTCTGACATCGTTGCTTACAGGAAATACCTCGACGGGCTTGTACGAACGGTAAAGGAATATTCAAAATATTGTTGTAGTGTTTTATCATGTTGCATAACTCTTCATGATTCAAGAGGTGAGAGTCCAATACGACAGATGCAAAATCTTTCTCTTCAATCAACGGAAAACGTATTCCATTAACAATATCTTCTCCAAGAACTCGTCTTTTTGTCTCTCCATCGGAAGTTATCCCTTGCCGTTCACATTCTCTTGTGGCCCAGCGATCAACAGCTTTGAACAGTTCCACTTCCGTCACATTCAACGCTTCTCTCTTCACAACAGATTCGACAACAGATCGCTCCACTGAAACAAATTCGTCCGATGTAACAGCTTCTTCTGTCTGCTCGTCAATCACTTCCCAGCATCGATCTTCTAAGTCTTTATCTTCAAATTTCTGCGCATGCGGCAGAATACAAAACACATTTGATGCTTTCAGGTTGTCTCGGAGATATTCTGTGCATTTCTCGCCGAGCGAGGGTACCATGTATTTGTTCGCCAAGTACAGCACTTGTATCACATTACTTCCGCTTAAATTCACAATGTCGCTGTACATGAAACGAAACAACTCCAACAGACTCTCGTACTCACAGTCAGGCAGTTCAATAGAGTCTTTAGTCTCTGCCATTTGACCATAGAACATGGCAAAGAACACAGGACTACTGATTGCGAGCACAAACTTGTGAGCTGGGATCACTTTCTTACTGTCGCTTTCATCAGTCGACATTTGAACGACAAATTTTACATCGCTCAGTAACTCCTTGTTGAAGATGAAAGCGGTTTTCTCGGCAATGGTTGATAGTTTCGTTTGCCAATTTTCTTCTGCCGCCATCGTTGTGTTCCGCTCTCAAAAGTCTTCGCAGATGTCTTTTTTTTAGAGCAAATTTTGATGAGTTCGCTTTGGTTTTACTTTGAGCAAAGATTTATGGGATCGAAACAGTTCTATTGGTGCTACCGCTGAATTGATGTGGTCACACAGGTCACGCAACTTAAGCGTAATCGTTTGTACCTCGAAGACCTCCATCCGATTTTTCTTATTCTCTGCGGTTCTCAACTACTTCTCGTGGTTAAATTACATCAAAAATACTATTGAAGAGGTAAAATCCAATCAAATTACCGTGGAAGGTATGATGAGCCATCTTTTCGTCGTAATACTGAATGGAGGCGGGGCAACGGGGTCGTATAAGGCAAAGGACAATGTGTAATGGGGCGGGGGGGGTAAGGAAAACGTCACCATGAAATGACTGAAATGCGCCCAGTTTCATTGCTGCTCCCGTCCATCTTGCTCTTTATGTTTGCTAATTTTCAACCATTGCAAACCTCTTATAATTTTTGGGTTTGCAAACTGACTAGAAGTTGACAACACATCCTTCTGTTATTAAATAGCCTCTTCACTCCCAAGATCTCGATGTCCTTTTTTTCTTCCCCGTTAGTGATATCTTTCTTTAAATTTCGGCTCAAAGAGTCACGTGTAAAATCAAACAGTTTTCGCTGGTGGATGTTCAATTCCTCATCACTTTTCGATCAGAAAATTTGTTGATGTTGTTAGGAGAAATTACTTGTTGGTCATTCTTAAGAGTGAAAAGGTTAAACGATCACTCTGTTTTTTTCTTTTTTTTCTGTTTTTCAAAAATTGTCTCACGAAGCACATGCAGGTTCTCTTCAGTTAATCATCAACACCAGTGGATATCCTAGTGTCAAAATTTGAAGATTTTTGGGATTTTTGGAAGATTTTCCCTTATTTGGGATCGAGCTGTGTGAGAAAGGAGTCCGCAAAAAAACAAAAAACAATAAATGACCTCCCCCTTCGCCCCCCTCCCCTCCCATTCTTCGCCCCTCTCCCTAGATTGGAATATCCTTTCCTAGCCCCTTGAACCATGATAAAAGACAATCATGCACCCGTCGGGCTAATCTTTAACGGATAAATTAATGTTTGATATAATGTTGTCAAAGTGTTGACGGATAACGCTGATCAGCGATCAGGTTAGGTCAACAGCCACATTATTATTAACCAACATACAGGATATGTCTATGAACGCTTTTTGTCAGCTGATCATCTTAAGCGTGCTTCTATCGTCATCTCCCATAACAGGTATTACGCTGATGTTTTTTTTCCATACTTTCGTTTGGAGGTTTTGAACAAAAATTTATATTCTAGTTTTTTTTCTGTGTAAATGATTTATTAAACATTTGTCAGTTTATGTACGTTGCGCCATTCGCTCTTTGACGAATAAAACAAGGCTCAAAGCTTGCGTAAATAGTTGAGGTCAGTCAGTTGTAGTCACGTGTAACTGTGAATGTGATTTTCTGTATGCAGTATCGTCAGTGACAATGAGCTTATAATAAAGTTATGATTTCTACTGTTGCCCAGTGGCACTGACATTGTGCAGTATTATGGGCTGTTATAGGCTGTTAATTTGCAACAAAACGACACTCTCTTTCGATACACATGATAATTACGTCCGTGTTTTTTGGGGGTCGTTTTCTACTCTCTATTAACATTCTCTCAACTTTGTATTTCAGTTTAAACTTTTTTGGAGAATAAAGGATAAACCACCCGTGGTGTTACACGTCACGCAACGCTCTCTTTCCGGCCAACCGTTACGTGTTATTTAGGCCCTCATATGAATAGCGGACTAAATTTGTTTCGGGATGTTTTCTGAATAACTTTACTACAAAATAATCAATTATTGCAATTATGAATCACTGTGCACCAAAGAAGCAAAAAGTGGGATGTGGTAGACGATTCTCATCTTGACTCTGCCACAAAACGATAGACACATTTTCCATAACATGCCTTTGTTGAAATTAAAGGAATGAAGGAAACAGTTCTGCTAAACGATGTAGAAGGAGGGTCAAGTGATATTTCATAGTATCACCTAACGACTTTTGTCGAGACAAGAAAAAATAATTTGGGCAAATCAACAGCCACCCTCCCTGGTGCAATTATTTACGTGAGCGTTGACTCTGCATTATTTAAAGACAAGTAATTTTACCTGTTTTGCAGCAGCCCTTTTTTAATTTTTCTTTGTTATGGCTACTGACCTCTTTAACAGTTATAATTTGGTAATTATTAGGGGCCACTCATTAATTATATATCGCCTGTAGGGGGGGAGTGAGGAGGGGGGGGGGGGGTAAAGGAGATTTTGGGGTATCACATGGTCGCCAAAAAAGGGGGACTATAGAAAATTGACTACTAATGAGGGGAGGGCCATAACAATGTTACAGAGCCTAACCGCCTCTCGGGGGGGGGGGGGAAAGGGATCAGGTAAATTTTGTGGTGACACCATCAAAATCCTCCAATTTCCCTCACCCTCCCCCCTTCAACCAAGTGATCAATAATGACCAGTCCCTTCTCTTATTTCAACATCATGCACTGCGCATGGCAGACCCTATAAGTAATGTACTGTCTTCGTTCCAATTGATGTATCTCATACTGCTGCAGTTTTCTTGGCTCGACCCAGACTCCCATCGATCTCCCATCGACCTCGCCATCTGGGAGTAAGGTCTGCTAGTTAGTCAGGGGGGCGAGGTCCAGTCTAGAATATATATACTAGGAAACAGACTACTTAACTTTCATGACGAGAAAATTATTATAGTGGTGCTCATCTCTATGGCGTGACGAAAGACCCTCAAGGGCAAATGATCTTCTTACAGTTCATACTCTGAATTAAACAGTGATCATCATCAACTTTCTTCATGAGAGCACATCAAAGAAAATCAACAAATCGTAGACTTAAATTCCAAAATGGTTGCAATTTTTGCATTATTTCATAACATTTGATCCCCCTCCCCCCATAAAGCTCTGTATTATTCTAATGATATCCCTTATTGGCAGTCAACTTTCTATAGTCCCCTCTTTATACTTTATTGGCGACAACAGATTCCCCCTCCATTCTCCCTGAAAATCTTGTGATCCCCCAAATCCTGCAACCACTTCCCCCCCTCCCTCCCCCCTCCCAAGACGAGAATACTGACTGGTCTCAAAGTAAAGATTTTATTTACCGGGGGGATTCTCCATCTAATTTCTGGCTGACGATACAACAAACTGTTCGAAGGTTTATTTTTATTTCGGAAAATCATTATTGTTTAATGTTACAACTTAAGTAATAGGTGAAACATTCCAAAAGCATTCCAATATTCCGTCGTAGCACTTAATTCACTTCTAAACACTTACCAGGTCGCAACGAATAAAAGTACGGTACGTATTCAATAATTTTTAACTTCATCAACTATTAGCAGCAAAAACAATCCAAAACTAATTTCCAATTATTTATGCCTGACAAGTACTAAATATGAAAGCTGGAAATTGGCCACTCGTTTCCGAAGTCCCATTGGCACTCTCCACTGCCTTCATGAAATTGACCAGCACTCCTTTCGATTCAAAAGACTTTACTCCCTCTCCTTGATACCATGATGGAGGACCCTTGATAAGCAACACAAGCCTATAGCTTTTATGAGCCTCCAAACGAATTGGCGGATCAAACATTACATCGAAGCTATAATGATTATTAGTCTCTTCCTTTATGGAAGAGTATGTTCCTGATTCCTTTCGGAGGCAAGAATTGTGGGCTGTAACTTTAACTTCGGTAGAAACAGTATGCTTGCCGCCGTCTGAGCCAAAATGCTGAACACCGTGTAGAAAGATTGGCTGGTTGATTGCAAATCCAATACTGTCGGCTCTACCTAAGTAAGACCAAGTTCCGTTCATACCCATTGGCGGATTGAATTTTAGAAATCGGAATAATACATCGGAATACCGCTCCTTGCGGTATCCTTAAATAACAAAGGATATTTTAAAACGCCGCTGTAATGTTTCATCATGTTTCCAACCTCATGAAAAGTGAGAATATCAGAATCGAATACAACTGACATAAAATCCTTCTGTGATATCAGTGGAAATCGTATTGCCTTAACAATGTCCTCCCCAAGAATTCGTCTCTTCGTCTTTCCATCAGGAGTAAGTCCTTGCCTTTGTACTTCTGCCGCGGCCCAGCCATCGACTGCCTTGTACAGTTTTAGTTCCGTTACGCTCAACTTCTCTCGCTTCACAACAGATTCAACAACAGATCGCTCAACTGAAATAAATCCATCTGACGTCACAGCTTCTTCTGTCTGCTCTTTAATCACTTTCCAGCATCGATCTTCTAAGTCTTTATTTTCAAATTTCCGAGCGTGCGGCAGAATAAAAAACACATTAGATGCATTCAGGTTGTCGCGAAGATATTCTGTACATTTCTTGGCGAGCGAGGGTACTATGTACTTGTTCGCCAAGTACAACACTTGCATCACGTTATTTCCGCTTAAATTCACTTTGTCGGTGTACAAGAAACGAAACAACTCCAACAGACTCTCGTACTCACAGTCAGGCAGTTCAATAGAGTCTTTAGTCTCCGCCATTAGACCATAGAACATGGCAAAGAACACGGGACTACTGATTGCGAGCACAAACTTGTGAGCTGGGATCACCTTCTTACTTTCACTTTCACCAATCGACACAGGAACAACAAACTTCACATCGCTCAATATCTCGCTGTTGAAAATGAACGCAGTTCTTTCGACGAGAGTTGGAAGTTCCGTCTGCCAATTATCGACAGCTGCCATTGCTAGGTTTTGCTCTCAGTTCCTTTCACAAATCAAACTCTATTGAATACTATCAACGTTTGCCGTCAAAGGTATTGCTTGACGTAACACATTTGTTCCTCAAGTCAAGCGTGAGGGTTAATTCCTCGTTTCCAGGTTGTCCACGTCTCTGCTCATGAAGTTACGATAACCGAACGGTTTCATTTAACCTGATATATTACAAGGGTTTGAATAATATTGCCGTTTGATCAATCTGAAAATTCTATCGAAATAATAAATATAGCAGGTTTACTGACGTATTACGCATCTATCATCT